GGGTACTGTCAACATTAGGCTTACCGAGAAGCCATTAAGGGTGTTGGTAGTGTAGAAAAGTCCCTAGTACATTCCCTAATAGCAGCCCATGCCCGCCAATTATATGGGAAGTCATGACGGTAGCTCATGTAATAATGCTGGAATTTTAGGTGTGTTTTTGAAGCCACTGCAGAGCGGATCACATAACCTGAAGATTCATGGGCGATCCCAAGCCCTAAACCCTAAACCNNACCCTGAACCCTAAGCCCCAAACATGTGGGTGTAGTTGGAGTTTTCAGGCTTCTAGCGCCCCCCAGTCATAGATCTGAGGATGAATGCAGATTACGTGTGCTTAGTCCTAAATTCTAAGCCCTCATCCCTAAGCCCTAANNCCCTAAAGCTTAAATCCAAAACCCTAATCCTTAAACCCTCCATGCTGTGGTTTGAGCTCTTATATAGGCCTTATACCCATTTTCTCTTGTGATACATTGTAAAGAGACCTCGCTGCTTGCACACGTAAGTCGGGCTTTATTTGGGAGAGAGTGCGACCCACAATATCGAGTAAGATGATATCCTCTGATGGGTATGGTATTTTGATAAAGAATTGTATAAATCTGACGAAGTTCAACTATCGAAAGCCGCTGCTCAAATGGGAGGCTGCCACCTCCAGTCAGTCCACTGCAGCCTCCAATTCGAGGCTTTCTGTTAGTTTACGATCCGGGCAGTTTGTTCGCGTTGAAGCGGGACTCAGTCAGTAGCTTAATATGGGGGATAGCTGGGGTTGAGCCATAGTCTAAACTCCTAGTATCCCCCTTAAAAAACATGTATAATACTGCATTATATAATCCCCAATACAACCCCCTTTAAGGAGTTTAGATTATGGATCATGTGGGTTATCATTAGGGGCTATACTTACTAAGTTTGCTTCAAATAGACTAGCAAAGATTCCTGACAGCGCAAGGCGTTCTAGTTCTGAAGCATCTTTCAGCGAAGCGTGAACGCCCTTAACCTAGGTACAAAACGATGCAAGATGGAACCCCAGATAAATGGCCTTTAAAGGACAGCAATCCGTGTAGGGCTGCTTGTCACGCCTGCTTGTAGAAGGGGCTCCGTGGCTTTCCACAACTCTGAAGGTTGCCGGAACCAAGCAGCAATTTTGCGGAAAAGGTTTTAGAATGCTCTAGCTGTTATACCTAGCTTGAACTTCCTATAATATAACCCACTCACTGGCAGGGACACATTTTTTAGAAGTCCGCACTAAGCTACTAGATATCAAAACATGCAGTTATATCCAGCCTACAGCCGATCGCCTCTTCTACTTTCTTCTTGCAGGTTACGCTCGGTTCGTTGCATTCGTACCCTTAAGCGTGATCCCAACGTAGACTGGGCGTAGGCGTACGTTGGAGTTTCTCGACACTATCCCTGTGTCCTAGGTGATCCCCATTTACCCGTAAGCTCAATCCTAAGACATCCCTAAACCTTGGTCCCTGAACCTGAAATGAGCTATAGTCCCAACTCCTTGAAGGGGGTTATATAGGGGAGTATATAGGGGAGTATTATAGGGCTCATTAAGGGGGATACTAGGAGTTTAGATTATAGCTCAAATAGGGCGTAGGGCTTAGAACCTTAAGCCCTTTTGTTTGTACCCACCCCTGCAGCTCAACCCTAACACACCTTTTGTTTCTACAACCCCTTTCAAGGGGCCCAGCGGCACTCCTATTTGGAAGCCCAAGCCCTAAAACCTTGAATCCGACAGCTCCAACCCAAAAACCAAAGCCTAAACCCTAAACTTTGGGTACTGCCCCCCCTTCAGTAACAGTTGGATAATAAATACAATATGGTTATATATAGCCCTTAATAGGACCCCTAATATAGACTGTTACTGGGGGGGCAGTACCCAACCTAAACTGTAAGAAGCCTACTTTGAGAATCCCTGACTTAGAGCCTGTCAGGTCTCCTGCAAATTCGCAGCCTGCCGATGCTGGCGCAGGTTGTTTCTTCAGAAATTTGAGTGCTCAGGATTTTGGGCTCGGGCGCTGAAATCTAGAGTTGATGGGTAGGCTTCGGGGGTGTAGGTTTTATTGTCCATTTTCTCTATATGACCCTCATAGCAGTTTCCATCTTGTTTTCCATTATCCCTGTGTTCAGGGTTTAGGGTCCTCATGGCTCCTTTAGGATTCTGCCAGGTCATCATGAGAAATGCGCATATGAGGGTTTCCCCAGAGCTCTTTATAATGCGTCCTTACAGTGGGGGAAGAGAATACGCGTCCCTCTATAAACTTCCCCCCATTTTGGGAACAGTAATGTAGGCCAAGTCCCCTAAACCCTAAACCCTAAACCCCATCCCCTAAACCCTAAACCCTAAACCCTAAAGCCTAAACCCAGTTGAAACAACTTAAGAGGACTTTGTCCTTTTCAGCGGTCATTGCTTTGTGAGTTGTTCTAATCTTCTCCCCTAGAAACTTGATTTTATCCACAGTTTAGGGTTCAGGGTTGGGTTTAGGGTTTAGCCCCCTAATAAAGAATCCCTCCGCCCGAATAATAGCAAACACCCTTAATATAGCAGCAATATATGTGTGTGTATATATATATATATATCCACATGTCTGTTAGGGGAAATAGTTGTCACTATGGCGTGCAGGGGGTTCGTTATTAGGGCATTAGGGGAAGGAAGGTGATGATTTTGTATAGACTCTAAACCCTAGACCCTATAAACCCTACACCCTAGACCCTAGACCCTAAACCCTAGACCCTATACCCTAAACCCTAAACCATGGGCCAGAGCTTGGGGGCTTGGATTAAAGCCTTGCTCTTACAGCACAACTCCTACTTGGGGGCTTCGATAAAAAAAGAGGGCTCCTTGCGGTTGAGGGTTTTGGGTTTAGGGGATCCAGATTTGGAGGATTAAAGTATCCCTCGATGGAAGTTCTTAAGTTGCGCATAGCATATACTCTATCCAAATGCCTTTCCAGATCTATGGGAGGATCTAGAACGTAGATGCCTCTAAAGGTTTCCTCGACAATTACCCAACTATAGTACGGGGTTCAATGTTGGATGTTCACTGTCTAGATTATCCCACAGGGGTCTAGGCTATTCTTTATGAAGTCCGCTTCGTGGACAGGGCCTCCCATGGCCGAAGGCGCGCACAAGGCGCGGGGTTTAGGGTTTAGGGCTTAGGGAGGGTTCTAGGTTTTCGGAAGTTGATGGGTCCTCCGAGTTGGTATGCAAATCAACGCTACATAAGTTCACATGGCTTGGAAATAGAATCTTCTTCAAGCTCCAGCTTGCTGGCATGGGTAGAACTCTGCGCAGGGTGTTGTGGTATGTGCTCAGACAAATCCATCTACTTGAAGCCCTCTGAATTGCAGAAAATCAGTATCTCCGGGGTTCATGTAAAACTGCCTCTATGAATTGTATACCGGTTGCCTGCATCCTCGAGCCGCTGCGTGCTTCTTGATGCATCTTACTGTGTTTCAGTAGGGGAGGGGAGGAACGCATCCTTTTGGTAGCCCTTATGTCACCCCCAATAATATGGTGGTGTCCATGTTCCGTTCCCTCCTACGTACAACCCGCGAGATGCGCCTTTCTGCGAGGCCGTTGCCTCAGCATGGGGAAGGCGCTTCACTGGTGGTGTGTTGGCTTGGGCTGAATGTAGGGTTTGGGGTTTAGGGGCTGGCTCTCTGATACGGTTGATATTAAATATCCTGCGTGACGTCATTATGCTATAGCCTATAGCTTCATAACTTCCAATGTATCCCTAAACCCTAAACCCTAAAGCCTGTCATGCAGGGTTTTAGTATCCACTGGGCCTTCGTTAACCCCATGAAGCACAGGATGCAGTTCAAGCTAGGACCCCCTCACATCCTTCTTACATATTGTAATCCAAGTTAGGAGCATGGGCCTGATGGGCCCCTAATATGTGGGATGTGGGCCCTTAGGCCTTTTAGGGGGATTCTAGGGATCCTTAAGGGCACATATAGGTTTTACGGTAAAAGCATGTTGAGAAAACCCCCCAGCCTCTTTTGCAGGTCGTCAAATTTGTGGATCTGTTCTTGGGCACCCTACATATTCGGGGGCGCGGACTACTTGCAGGGTCAGGAAGACTTTGTAAGTAGGTTCATAATCGGGATAAGTAGGGTTATTCTATGGGCTATAGGGGTTATTAACCTACGTACTAAGTCCCCCTGACCCTAAACCCTACACCCTAAACCCTGAACCCTATACTGAGTCCCATTGCGAACCTACTGACGAAGTCCCCCTGACCCTCGAAGTAAGTACCCCAAAACAGACCATGGTTTGGACCACTCACCAGATGAGCTATAATCTAAACTCCTTAAAGGGGGGTTATATAGGGGATTATATAGGGGACTGTTATAGGGGTTATTAAGGAGGATACTAGGAGTTTAGACTATAGCTCAGATCAGGTCTAGAACTCCTCATTATAGTTTAGGGTTTAGGGTTTAGAGTTTAGGGTTTAGCGTCTAGGGTTTAGGGTTTATTTGGGGTTTCGGGTTTAGGCGCCCAGTTGTTGAGAAGCTTCCTCTTTTTACTAAAAGGAAGTAGTAGCAATCTACCATAGGTACTTAGAGGGTCAGGGAAGTAGGTTGATTACCCCAATAACCCATTTAACAGCCCTACTTATCCCCATTATTATTACCTACTTACTAAGTCCCCCTGACCCTAAACCCTAAACCCTAAAGTGGTGCAGTTCAGAGAAGATACATCTCTGCTTGGGAGGTCAATAAGCGAGAAGTCACCCGAGCCTGGAGCCTGGCAGAACTCCATGAATTCACTTACCTTCTGTTCAGGGTTTAGGGTTTAGGGTTTAGGGGGAGATGGGGAGTGACTATAGGGACTTTTTAAAGGGTATATATGGGGATTATATAGGGACGATTCTAACCACTCTCCCTTAAGCACCTGGAAGTCAATGTAGAAGCCTCAAAAATCAACAACATCACGGTCCTAGATTCCTTGTTGCGTTATGGTGGACTGTATATAGGGCATTGCAAACAGGCCCCAAATTGACGTTGGTAATTGGTTAGCCCCACAAATATGAGTTGGGCTCAGCCTGCATACGCTAGCTGCCGCCATAAGAGGTATCTATGGGCAATTGTGCGCATGGGTGGCCGGCCCTAAAGTAAGTATGGTTTGGGTCCAGCGTTTGAGGATCCGGGTTTGGGGACGCGGGCTTCGAACATGGGTTTTAGCGCAACCGGGGTTGCGACGACTTATTGTCGTCGTAAATTGGATCTAGTCTAGAGATCAGAAGATTCAGAGTGCGTTTCTTAGTTTCCCAGGTGGTAGGAGTAGTATGATTGGTAACAGAAGCGCCTGATCTGTTCGATCGCTCCCGTCACAGCAGCACTAAAGATACTTGTGTTGATGATCAGGGTTGCATTAGCCACCAGAAGCATGCTGGTTAGAATCCTGGTAGATGCAAGACTAGTTGTACCAGCAGCCGAGCTGGAGAGAACTCAAAGCGAAATAGTCACACAACAGCTACAATGGGAATCACCCCTACAACCTATAGTCCCCTTAAGTAGATAGAATTTGGGGTATATGGGATCTTTTTATAACATACCCAAAGCCATATTCTATCTACTTAACTACTTAAGGGGGACTATGAACATGTGCTGTAGATCATCTTGTAGCTCCACTCTGTACAACAATTGATTTCAGGCTTGTTAGTCAACTCTCAATGCCCATGAGGAGCAACTCCCCGCTTAAAGCATCCAACTTTGTAGGAAAATGCTGGGTGTGTGATGGTTTGGAGTTGTGACAGATACTTTTACTGATTAATCCGTTTTCCTCCATTGATATAATCATCGCTTCTGGCCAGTCTCCAGAACGTTGGTTTTCGGCTTACCGGTTTTCCTTGGGACAATGTTTCTGCTTTCTCTAGGTAGGCGTGGAGAAGAAACTGAAGATAATCGTATCCATTCATCAGCTCAAGCAGAATTCAGGGTTCCTAAATGGTTCTTTCCATTTTATTTCCATTATCCCAATATGACCCTCCTTAAACCCCAATATTACCCCATGTCTGGCTCAGGACTCCGTGGCATCCCAAATCCTATATCCTACACCCTAAGCCCTAAACCCCAGTGACCCTGGGTTCAAGACCCTGCCTGGTGCTATGAAGCTGTAGAAGAGACGGCAAAACGCCAGACATCTCAGAGCCGAAGTGCTGAAACCTGATGCCGGTAAATCTTACGCACTGAATTGCTTCACCCCCTTACACCTCAGAGCCATATGAACTATATTCTGAACTCCTTAGAGGGGGTTATAGAGGGGAGTACACAGGGGACCACCATACGGCTTATTAAGGGGGATGCTAGGAGTTTAGAGTCTAGCTCATATTTCCTCGACCTTGAACCCTAAGCCTCAAACCACTTTGCAAACCGCGGTCAAGCAGGCTGCAATAACTTCAAGCCCAAGCCCTAAAGGCCTAACCCTAAACCCGAAACCTTAGGTGAGGCCCTCGCCCCACACCCTCTGATGGAGAATGGCTATATTAGGGCTCTTGAATGTTCCTATCATATTACCATTACCCGGTAGGGGCCTAGCCCAAGCCAACCTTTGAAGCCCTGAACCCTAATACTTAAATCCTAAACCCTAAGTCCTCAAGCCTAAACCGTAAATCCTAGGCCCTAAACCCTAAACCTTGAACCTTAAACCCTAAACCCTAAAGCGCACAACCTTGAAATCTTCTTCAAGCCTGAAGTATGGGAGGTCTGCCTCTGGGACAGCCCCAGTCCGCCCAGCACCTGGCCAAGATTTTTGGAATGGTTTAGGGTTTAGGATCTATGGTTTAGGATTCAGGATTCAGGGTTTAGGATTCAGGGTTTAGGGTTAAGGATTTAGGATTTAGGGTTTAGGGTTAAGGATCTATGGTTTAGGATTCAGGGTTTAAGGTTCAGGTTTTGGGGTCTGGGGGGGTCATACCTGCAATTCTGCAGGGGGCCTTCGGGTGTGGGTTTGGATGATTTGGCTTCAGAGTTCAGAGGTTCAGGATTTAGCGTTTGGTGTTCACGGTTCAAGGATATTTTACTGGCCGCTAGTTTCCAAGAAAAGCCCATGGTTGCTGCAGCGTTGCGCAGGAAAGTGTTGACGCTGCTTGGAGGTACCGTGCTAACTGTAAGTGTCTATATAGAGTTTATTGATATCACCCCACACGATAGAATCAGTTGGACAACACAACGCAAAATTAAATAGAGACTAGGATGATATACTGGTTTATAGGGACTATAGGCTTTGGGAGGTATGGGTCTCTCAGGACAAATAGGGGGAGGGATTTTCCATGATGACCATGGACCAGCACAGACAAAGGCTTACCGGTTAGTAGGGAATACGGGTATAGAATCCCTCTTTCAGCACTCTAAATCTACTCCCTGAATCTACTAACCTCCAGTAAGAAGGTGGTGCCACGACTTTCTCTGCGGCGTGTTTTCAATCAGAAGGAGAGGCGCGATGCTATCCCAGCTAAGTTATTAAACTCCCTAAAGGGGGTTATATAGGGGATTGTACAGGAGACTACTATAGGGGCTACAGAGACGGGGATACTAGGAGTGTAGACTATAACTCATGTGCCTGTGCTTCCAATTATCTGGTTGTAAGGATAAGGGCAAGCACGCGCTGGAGAGTATTGGAAACAAGAGCAATGCGCGAAATCACCGTAGTCAGCATCCGGGCACTGTATCCATCAAAAAGGTTTGTATCCAAGCCTGGTGAAAGGCTATCTTGCTATCAGATGTAAGGAAACCAAGTGTAGACGAGTCCAGGGCTAGTCAGTCTGTAAGATGTTCCTATTTCCAGTGCCTCCTCAGTGTCCCGGCAGTGATGAGAGAGACAGTCTAAAGTCTAAACCCTAAACCCTAAGTAGTCGTTTCCATTTTCTTTTCCATTACTCCTAATTATGCCAAACCCTAAATAGTAGTTTCCATTTTCTTTCCCACTACTCCTATATATCCCAAGCCCTAAATGGTAGGTTTTTATTTCCCTTTCCAGTATCCTAGACCCTTGCACGCGGGGGAGTCCAGGTTGTTCTGGTTCTGTAGCAAGTGGGAACCCTAAACCCTAAACCCTATACCCTAAACCCTAAACCCTAGACCCTAAACCCAGCAGAGTTAGTTCCAAGGCGACGGCCCACCACGACTTAGTTGGAAGATGTGACAAGAGATGACTTGCATCCCTAGTCCTGCATCAGGAGCACGTGAAGCTTCCTGGGTATGTCTCAGGAACAAGTCATCTCCACACAAGATACTGCGACCTTATCATAGGCTGCCGAAATCAGACCTGCATTTTGTTGGAATCTTCCCACAGGTGACACTCCCTCCTCACAACTCTGCCGCCATAGCCCGAGCAGCTATCCTGCATTGCCAGGGCAGGGGACTACACTCTGAAAATGGACTACCAGGCAAGGTTTAGGGGACTACCGGAGGGCCTCCAGAATTGGTGGGCTTCAGAGTTTGGGGTTCAGGATTTAGGGTCTAGCGTTTAGGGTTTGTGGGAGGTAAGACACGTACTTTACTTGGGGCTGTTTTAGAGTGGGGGCCGTGTCCGATATGCCCTCAGCCTTACACTAAGTAGAATGAACCCAAGCCCTAGGTCCTACACCCTAAGCCCTAAACCACAGGCCCCCAAACTGTAGGGCTTAGGGTTTGAGGTTTAGGGTTTAGGGTTCAGGGTTCCACTTGCGCAAGGGTACTTGGGTAATCGTCAAAACTGTAGGTGCACAAGATAAGCAGGAAAACATATCCAGTACTAGCCTGCAATTTGCCGGGCGCTGTCCTTGCTCAGTTTTGTTTTGGAGTTGGTTATTGTGATTTTTCGGATGTGCAGGTTGGAAATGCTCATACATTCCCAATGTAAGCCTGCGCAGATTTCCAACTGCATCGACCGACCAACAAGCATGAACAAGCCGACTTTGTTAAAACATTCGAACGCTGAATCCTAAACCCTACACCCTGAATCTTTTGGTTCCAAACACTAAACCTCGACCTCAAGCTCGTGACCTTTCCCAAAACAATCGCTACATGACTCTTGGGGCCATGCCTGTAGCCGCCTTAGAATCTCTAGAATCAGGTTTAAGGTTCAGGTTCAGGGTATAGGGCTTAGGTTTCGGGCTATTTGTTCCCAATTCTTTTCAGAGGTTCCGAAATTGTCCCTGATGCTCGGAGGTTCAGGGCAATCATAACACAATTATAACTGGCTCTTATGATCCAAGTATTACCTTACCTATCCTAGGGGACATTGGGGGCCTATAAGTGGGCTATACGTACAGTTAATACTTGGGTTATACGAATCCAAAATCTTATATACCCGTATCTTAAACATATATAGTCCTTATGATCGGGGAATAATTATCCCATACCTTATATGTGCCCTTACATAACCCTATATAGCTCAAATAGCACCCCTACATAATCCCTCTCAATTGGGGTAATAGAAATGCCCTGAATCCTAAACCTGGAAGTCTACACCCTACCCCTAAACCCTAAATCCTCAACCCTAAACCCTGAACCCTGAACCCTAAATCCTAAACCCTAAACCCTAAACCCTAAATCCTAAGCCCTAAATCCTAAACCCTAAACCATGAACCTCCAACTACCTAGCTGCCAGTGCGACACCCCGGAGATCTCGGAGTCCGAGCTGGAGTGCACAGATGATGTGGAGGAGAGCTGGGGTTTAGGGGTTTAGGGTGTAGGGTTTAAGGTTTAGGGTTTCGGTTTAGGGTTTAAGGTTTAGGGTTTGGGGTTCAGGGTTTAAGGTTCAGGGCTTATGGTTTAGGGTTTAAGGTTCAAGGTTGATGGTTTAGGGTTTAAGGTTTAGGGTTTATGGTGCTGGGTCTAAGGTTTAGGGTTTGGGGTTTAGGGTTTGCGGTTTAAGGTTTAGGGTCTGGAGTTCAGGGTTTAGGGTTGGGGGTTTTCGGTTTAGGGTTTCAGGCTTACGGTTTAAGGTTTGTCAGGGTTCAGCGGTGGGCTTGGGGTTTGTGGTCTAGTCACAACAAGTCCTGGGGCGTACCCCATAGGGGCCTCGCCGAATGCAAAGGGAGTATCGAAGGCTTCGCTAGCCTTTTCCATGGTGGTCGCACATGCCCTCGATAGCCTTCGACAGGCTTCGAGAAGCTTCGATACACTTCAAAAAGCGCTTCAGTAAGGCCCCTGTAAGCTTCAATAAAGCCCCTGTCAAGCCTCAGTAGCAGTAGCACTCAAGCTTTCAAAGGCAATATTTAACAAAACCATCGAGGCTCCCCCGAAGAGAAAATAGGCTCCAATAGAGCTATTGAGCCCCCGCAGGCATTTATTGAGTAGCCAAAAATTGCTATTTTTCATTATCGAGGTTGCCCTGAGTGAATGTTTGGGCGCGCTTCCAAATCCAATTGAAACTGCATGTGCTTTTTACATTTGATTGGGACCTTCTACAACACACAATTTGTGAACAGCTAGGTAAGCTTCAATCACTTGTTTGCGTTTGGGGTGGCCCCTACGAGGTACGCCCCGCCGTAGCGTCCTATGATCTAGGGGAACTGGTGTTGATGGATGTCGTAGAGCTTACTACAGCAAAGCTCCAGGGTTGAGGTATATAGGGTCAAGCAGAATTTTGTTCAGAAGCGGTACGTGCCTTACGCAAAACTGAAGGAATGATGACAAGAAGCGCAGCAATGGCAACAGCTGCACATAATTGGAAGAGGAAGTGACATGCCAGCAACTGGAGTACTATAATGTAATTAGAAAAGTCGCCGTACAGTTCGAGTAGCAGCACCATACCAGGTGCGTGAAGAGGTGTTTTTTCTGTGCTGTTACCTGCCTGCCGCGGACTTCCCGATAGTTTGCTGCATGTCTCATGCCCTCGAGAAGGGGCCAGGATTTGTGCAGGGCAAGCCACGAAAAGATGAGTGATGCTGCAGGTATGTGTGTAGGTCTCAAGAAGGAGTATGAGAACCGCTGCTCAAGTCATGTTGGAAGGACCTGCCAGGGATTGAGATCTCGACCATACACCTGGACGAGGCGACCAGTTGCACTTGTCAGCAAAGGCTACTTGCATCTGAACTGGAGGAGTAATTTGACAACTAGATGCTGATAGAAAAGAAGGTGTGGTCAGCATGATGTGAGCCTTGCGGCAACAACTGTAGTATGGGTAATCGCAATATGTTCCGAAAGCCCTCTAGATGGGAAACGCATTTCTCAATTGCAATGCCCAAAGGCCAGCAGACAAGCATTTCTACCAAGCGATATGTTCAATAACATCCACTTTGTTGCTTGCAGTGATTCGAGGGTTGCGTGCCAAATTCTCGTATGGCTTGCAATCTGGCACCAAATAGTGACCCGTAACTGTACTGTCCTTAGGAGTATATTTTTGATTTTATTATAGTTTAACCTGGAAATATCAAACATAGTATTTTTATTATAGGTCTAAGGAGACTACAGATAAGCCTTTGACCCTCATTTCTCCGTTTTTATTCTGGATTTGGTTGAGGTGCACAAGCTGCTTACTTGGGTTTGGGTTTTCGGTTTAGGGTCGACAGCTGTTTCACTTTTGTCGGAGCTGTCAGTATCTTCCGGGAGAGTCCCTGTCCGTAAGGTTCTTAATATCTTTAGGATGCAAGAAATATTCTGTGAGGATTCCGGCGCTACATGGGCACCATATGGGGAACCAATAGGGTTAAGGTTTCGGGTTGTCTCAAAACCTCGAACTGCAGGACTGCCACCAAGTAGCAGTCTATAACAGGGGTAATAGTCAGGGCTGTATATTATGATGCATATTGTTATATTTTTTAATCTAGCTGTTACTGCTTAGGGGCACCCTACATCCCATGCAGTATTTGATGTCTACTACTTCTACGACCTAGGTTTCTGAATTGTCCCCAATCACGCTGGAGCCCTAAAACAGCACCCCTTAACTCCCACCCAGCCCGCAAACCCTAAGCCCTTGCCCTAAGTCTTAGCCCAAGAACCTTAACCCCTAACTCCCCAAACCGCTAGGTCTGAGACGTTAAAGCGTAAACCCTCAAGCTTCAATCAAACCTACCCACCAGGCATCCAGCCCTAAACCACAAATGAAAACCGCAACCGGTGTAGGGTTTAGGGTTTAGAGCTCAGGGTTTATGGTTTAGTGCTTTTAAGTTCTGCAGGCCATTGAAGCAATGCTTGTGCGGCGAAGGCGCCACGTTGCATCTCAGGCCAGGGGGTGTCTGTCAGGGCCATATTTTCCGGGGCAGATTGGATCAATTCAGGCTAGGGCTTGATCCGAAACCCTGAACCTCAAATAGGCGGGAAGTGGATCTCCTTAGAACCCTTACACCCTGCCCCTAACTAAGGAGCACTGAGCCTTAGAATGGGCCTTACAAAGAGGACCGCCCTCTGTTTCGTCGAAAGCCCCCCTGGAAGCCCCATGAAGAATAACGGGGATCCTACAGTCCGCATTGTAGAATGGATAATTGTTTTTCTGCTTTTTTTCGGAGGCCTAAACCCTAAACCCTAAAGGGGTTTGTAAGAAGAATAGAACCTGCCTTGCTCAACCACCAACAGCAACCCTGAAATGCCAAGACGAAAGGCGGAGAGGAGGCGGGCTTCAAACAGCTGGTGGCATCGCCTTTTCGGCGGCTGCTTCCTTGAGGAGGCTCCACACGGCTTGACGTTTGGAGAGCAGGGTTACGATTTGGGGTCTGGCGCATAAGATTCAGGGCTTAAAGCAAGGGCTTAGGATATGACTCCATGAATTGGCAGCAATTCAAATCTGGGTTTAGGCCTTCGGTCCTGAAATTTGCAGAAGGAGAGTCAGGCACGCGATTGACAGGCGTTTCGCGCTTTGTTTGGGGAGTTGCCTACAGTACAGAACCCTTTAGCTGAGAGCAATTATGTAGGGCATCCGAATACTGAGCAGTACATTCCGTGCCCTGTATACCCCTTCTTCCCTCTACACACTAGTGCGTATGCCCTATGTGGAGATCCAGTTGACTATAATTAACACCAACTTGCCCTGACTTCCTACAACAGCTTTTCCTAACTACAGCCAACGGGAACTCGAGGTATTCGCAAGCAACTCCTGATCCTCATGTAGCTATGGTATCATATGCTCCCAAATTCTGATTCTCTAGGCCCCCACAGTACCTGTACCAAGAGCCTCCAAACCCTAGGGGCTTCCCTCCTTGGGAATGTTTCTCCTCAACCACTCCTCCTAAACCCTAAGTGCCCTTAAAACCCTGAACCCTAGGATCAGGGCACTCCGCGTGGCCTAACTATGTCCATGGTGGAGACCTTACCAGCTGGCAGCTAAGCGGAGGGTTGAGGGTTTAGGGTATATGGTTTTGGCTTTGGGGTTTAGGGTTTCGGGTTTAGGTGGATTACAGACTTTTGGTGTGGGGTGGTTATGGGTTGAGGGCTACGGGGTTCAGGGATTAGGGTGGTCATTTTGATTTCCTTATCTGAAGCAGGCTCCATATGGCTCACATTCTGATGATGCATTCTTTCCTACTGTTCCGTAGGACTACTTGGGGCTTCAGGGGGTGGACCATCATCCGAATCCCGAAATCTTGGGAGCGTCCTCTGGTTTCCCTTTTCTCCAGTATGCTTTCATAACTTTTCTCCCTCTCTTGCAGGTGTTTTTTTGGAGTTGCTGGTGGTACTTCCCTTTAGTGTGACCCTAGTGTAAACCCACAGCACCTTAAGCCCCAAAGGTTTAAGCCCTCAACTCTGAGCCCCAGAGTGCCCTCATCATCCTTCCAAGACATCATCCTAAACCCTAAACCTTAAACCCGAAGCCCTGAACCCTAAACCCTGAACCCTAAACCCTAAACCCTGAACCCTAACCCTAAACCCTGAACCCTGAACCCTGAACCCTAGGTCAGCATGATGACCCAGGGCCTGGCGAGTGGCCGGCATTTGCCAAAGCTCGAACCGTGCAACTCGTCCGGAAGGAAGTATCTATCCTGGGTTGCTCAGAGGAACAAGTGCTTGCGTACAGATTTGCGACTGGTGCTCGTTGTGCTCGGCCCTGCTGGGCCAACCTCACAACCCCTCCAACATGGAAGTTTTCCTGTATTAGTGGGCCAGAGTGCTTTTACCAGGGACTTGGCCTCGCATGGTAGGAGCGTCTTGGACTGAGGTGTTCATGCCAGTGACGCGGCTGCTGGCAAACAGAGGTGGCCGCAGCCAATGCCACAGCGCTTTCCATTTTGAGAAGAGATTCCCTAGAAGCTGTTGTTTTCTAGCTTCTTCACATGAGCAATTTCTGAAGCATGAAGGGCTCAACCCCAATATCATAGTAGTTTCCATTTTCTTTTTTCCGTTATCCCTATATAACCCCAATAGAATAGTAAGTTCATTTTCCCTTTCTAACCCCAGTATTGTTGGGTTTCCGCCAGGCCAGAGGTACGGACCTGAGCAGGACAGCAGCTTGGCAGCTCGATGCCTGTGACCGGCTGCTCCCTGAATCAGTTTTGTCTTCGGGCATTTGTGTATTGGGGTCAGTTTAGGGGTAATGGAAAAGAAAATGGAAACTACAATGATGTTGGGACTCTATAGGGATTATGGCAAGGAAAATGGAAACCCTAAACCCCAAACCCTAAACCCTGTACAGATTGCCAGGTCATGGCAAGGTGGCAGTCACCAGTTTGGGCGATGCTCAGCACCACCTTTGTTCTGACTTTGTGAGCTATAGGCTAAACTCCTTAAAGGAGGGGTTATATAGGGGATTCTATAGCGGAGTATTATAGCTGTACTTGAGGGAGATACCAGGAGTTTAGACTATAACCCCTATAATCTCCTACGTAACCCTATATATAGCAATTTTAATTTCATTTTCCATTTTCTTTTCCATTCGATTCTCCATGGTTAAGGGGGATACCAGGAGTTTAGACCCTAAACCCTAAAGCTTAATCCCAAAACTTTAAACCCCTAGGGTTATAAAGGGGGATACCAGGAGTTTAGATCGTAAACCCTAAACCCTAATCCCTAAACCCTCAGCCCCTAGGGTTACAAAGGGGGATACCGGAAGTTTGCCCTAAACCCTAAGCCCTAATTCCTAAACCCTAAACCCTAGGGTCATAAAGGGGGATACCAGGAGTTTAGACTATGGCTCTTGTCAAGTCCGTCTCACTCTTAGAAGCCGCCACGGCTTGCAATCGCGAACACATCGCACACTGAGCCCCGGCAACTTATCTGGCCTTCTAATTGTTAGGGTTTAGGGCTTAGAGTTTAGAGTTTAGCGTCCTAAATCCTGAGCCCTACTCCCTAACCCCTAAACCTTAAACCCTCAGGTTGTATAGTTCAATTCGCTGCGCGGTTTTGAGCTCAGTATGCCGCCGCTTTGTTTTAGAAGCTGTGGCTGTGGGCTCCGCCAGAGGCAGACTTGTCCTCAGCCACTTTTCAGCTCATCTTGTGCTTCTTAAAATGGTAGGGTTTAGGGCTTAGGGTAGATTCCCAAAATCGCTAAACCCCAATATAGATCCCAACATACTAGAATCCTTGTTATGGGGACCTCCAAAAAGGTATCCCTAATTCTAGGAAACCCCCAAATAAACTTACTGGTGGTTAGTAAGCAACAAGGGAATATAGTTCTTTATGTTGACTATTTGATTTATTTCCTTGTTCCCTACTAACCCCAATAAGTAGACGCTCCGGGCTCGGATTGAAGCGAATTCTGCGCTGTTTTGCCACCTCTCCTGGCTGGACTCCAGGCAGAATCGCCGCTTGATGCTGCCCGCACCTTCCTTCGTTCTTAGAAATAAGCCCTAAACTAAACCCTATTGTCCACCTTAAGTAGATAGAATATCGTTTCGGGTATCTTATAATAAGATCCTCATATACCACATATTCTATCTACTGAAGGGGGACTATAACCCTTAACCGCGTCCCAGTGGGGCGCAAACTCTGCGGTCATGCTCCAGCCTTGCGTTTTCCACATCTGCGTCCCCCACGTTGTTGCTGGGACGGTGTATACGACTCCCAGTGGCTCCCAGTACATAGCCGCAGTTGCTCCGAGAGCCAAGGTTTCGCCGACTGTAGCCATTGAACTTGCGAGGAGATTTCGTGAGTAGCTGAAGCAGGCAACCTCATGCCAAAAAAGTTGAAACGTCCTCAAAAATCACCTATGGTAGTTTCCCTAAATAGGGGGACCCAAATACAGACCCCAATATACTATAATCCTTATTATTTGGATCCCCAAAATGTAGCATCCACCAAGCGTAAATGGCAGTCCCTGGCCTCTGCGGACCACACAGAGCAGCTTGGCCTGAAGCTTGTAGACGGGTTTAGGGTTTAGGGTTTAGGGGTTTAGGGTTTAGGGTTTATGGGTTTAGGGTTTAGGGTGTCACACAGACCATCCGCTGCACCCTGACATGTAGCTATTCCTGCTGGTCCTCTGTGGCGTCCCGCGAAGGCCTCAGTGCAAGTATTTGTGAGATGGATTCAAACTCTTCGCTCACATGCAGGGGGATGACATATGGATGCACATACATATTTTCATAGCAGCACATCAAGCACATTACATCCGGATATTGCATACGGGTATACAGATTGGTATGCGTTTACCACACGCGCGCACATGTGATATACTATATATATATACACACATATTTCTATACATACTACACACATACATGCACACTTGATATATGCAATATACATGTTACATACATACACATTACATACATACACACTCATACATATACACATAAAAATAGATAAATCAATACTTAACATATAGATATACATTTTATTTATATACTTTTGAAACCAGAGCTTTCCGAGGCCCAGGGAGATAGCTGGCAGCCATGGCCTCTCCGAGGCTCCGAACTCAGCCGGGACTCTGGGCCACATGGGCGGGTTCCCAGGGTTGAGGGTGTAGGGGTCAGGGTTCAGGGATTAGGGTTTCGGGTCTAGGCTTTAGTATGTTTAGGGTTTAGGGTCTAGGGTTTAGGTTTTAAGGTGGGTTTAAGGGTTAGACGACCCCCTACCCTAATGCTGCAGTCCTTATTTGCAGGGACTCCCATGACTCCCAAAATATCCTATCTTTGGGAACCCCCGACATAGAGCGACGATAAGGAAAATAGAGTTTACAGCCTGGGGGCTTCTCTGGATTTGGTTCTCGTTTGCTGAACCATTCCTTAGTTCTCAGGGGGGGCATAGTGATTCTGTGGGGATCGCGTGGCAGGTTCCAACAACCGTGGGGGGGGAGGGGGGGCAGTGTCTGGGTAATTACGGAGCCCTACACAAGTGTGTGGAAGGGGACCTCGCAGTTGATCAAAGTGTTGCTGATATACGTAATCCAGCTTGTGCCTGCTTGCGGGCGGGCTTCGCATATCTTCGCATGTAGCCGTGTAGCAGGATATATGGGAGGCTTTCTAGGGGTTCATAGGCATTTATAGCGTTTAGGGAGAAGCATGGGGCAAGAATGGTCTATGAGACCTGATCAAGTCAAGGCTCTAAAGTGAAGGAGTTGCGGTATAGTGGCTTGGGCTTAGGATCAAGATCAGTCCGAACAGCACTAGCACAATGACTTGATTGTGTTTTGTCATATGGGGATCTTTTTATAGTATACCCAAGGCCATATTCTATCTACTTAAGGAGGATTATATACCCTCCCCAAACAAAGATGAAACTCCAAAAGGGCCCCAGAAAGTCCACTGCTGTTCCACAGGGAGGGTCATGTCTGGTTCCACGTCGATTTAGGAAAGGTAAGCCCTGAACAGCAAATCCTGAAATTCATGTGAGTTGTACTCCAAACTCCTAGCGTCCCCCTAAATAACGCTATCATACTCCCCTATTAATCCCCTGTAAAACCCCCTTTACGGAGTTGAGACCATAGGTCATGTTACTTTGCGGGTAGTGTGGTCCTGAGACACTGAGCCCTAATCCCTAAACCCCTAACCCTAAACCCCAAACCTTAAACCCTAAACCGTCCGAAGCCCTGGCTTTCTCGCCAGTGCCGGCGGTCCCTCGCCGGGCACAGCGTCGCCGGGCAAGAGCAGGATGCTGAGGGTGGAGTTCAAGGCGAGAGCCAACGAAATGGAAACTCCTGGTATCCCCCTTAACCATGGAGAATC